CTCTCTCTCTCTTGCTCGTTTTCTGTCTCTCTCTCTCTCTCTCTCTCTCTGTCTGTCTGTCTCTCTCTCTCTCTCTCTCTCTCTCTCTCTCTCTCTCTCTCTCTCTCTCTCTCTCTCTCTCTCTCTCTCTCTCTCTCTCTCTCTCTCTCTCTCTCTCTCTCTCTCTCTCTCTCTCTCTATATATATATGACTCTCTATATATATATATATATATATATATATATACACACATTGCCCATGCAGAGTGAGCCAAAGGGCCCCATTTTTCTAGTGGTTCTTTTCATTCATGCTTTGATTGAAGCCTTGCTTTTCATTCATGCTTTGATTGAGGCCTTGCAAATGTCTCGGGTTTAGCTTGCTGCAGGAGAAGCCTAACACAGTGACAGTGGTAGTGACTCAAGAAAAGTAGAGTCAAGCTAAGTATGTCCTCAGGAGTGTTCTTTCAAGTAGTGGGGCCACACATGAGGGCATGACTTTCGTGTCCGGGCCATCAACTTTGAAACTGTGAGGTTTGCCAGACTTTTTGCTAGCTTTCGACAGAATTTGCCATACAACAACACTAAAACCTTGGACTACCTTGCCCACACCCCAGCTGCCCTGTTCAATAGTAATTTGATTGAAAATAATCTGGCCGTGCCCAAGAATCCGGAGAACCCACGAAACTGGAAGCCCGTGCCCAAGAATCCGGAGAACCCACGAAACTGGAAGCAGTGTTATCTTTATCTTGCTCTGGTCAGAATTCAGAAGCCTTCAAATCTGGATAAGAACGATTGCTCTCGCATGTCTTTGTTGGAGAACATTCTCAATCGATATTATTGGGCTCCTGGATTAAATAAAAGCTCTGTAATACTTAACCCGCTCATCATGGCAGCAGCATGAGATCCGACACAAAGAATATATAATATATTACACTGCATGCCTGAACATTCTGCAGTTTTATGGCTGGGAGGATGGTCTGTTCCAGGAAACCAGTTCAAAACCAAATGGACCTACTCCCCGCACCGATCCTTCTTCCCATTTCCATCCCCCACAAAACAATGCTACTGTTTTCTGGGCTGGTGTTGGATTGTGTGTGTGTGTGTAGCATTTCTTCGTGCCGAATGCCGACCCCCTGCCCCCAAAACCTTTTTCCGCCCCCGAGCCCCCCCCCAAGGCACACGGGAGTGTCGTGAAAATGAATTGTTGGTCCTAGAAATCATGCTGCATTTTTTGGCATGGTTGTGGTGGGGTGGGTTCGGTCGAGAGATACACAGAACCGGACCATCAAGACCGGGTGTTGGCCGTTGAAGAGCCCTGTGTTGTGTTGCTACATGCCACCCTTCAGGAAGTGCTGCTTTTCAGAAAGAAGAAGTTCAGTGAAGACCATCCGAGCACCCCCATCCCCGAAGAATTTTCACCCTCTCCACCGCCCCTCCCCCTGAATTCCGCTGCAAGCACAAAGCAAATGCCCTAATCCTAACCCCCCGCCCCCACCCATGCAGGAGTGTCTCAGTCTCGTGTCCTGCAAAAATGGTCTGCCCTGGGAGTCATGGGCTATTTGCTGCCACTCTGGTGGGGTGCTAGCTTCGGTTCAGGGTGTCCAAGTCTTAGTAGAATGTTTGCTTGCTCATCCTGCCATGTCTGACAGACAAGATGAAGGGCTTGGCCTGAGGCTTTTGTGAGATTCACGATGTGGGAGCACTGAACATCATGTAGCCGAAGCTACACATCTAGGCAGAACTGATCATTGAGCCGAGGCTTACTTAGGTAAGTAAGTATCGTTGCTTTCCTTGCAGAAATTGGTACCAATGTCGGCAAGGAATCCTGTTCTTTCCAGAATGAAGCTGGGCCAAAGAGTACTGAACGTCTTTAGCTAAGAATCATTGTTTTCCTTGCAGAAATTGGTACCAATTTCTGCAAGGAATCCTCTTCTTTCCAGAATGCAGCTGGGCCCTCACTCTGGCTCATCACACTAGTCGCAGGAGCACTTGGCACCAGTGTTGCTGATGCAATCCTATGTACATATTCGCTGCACTCCAGAGGACTTAGTTCCATACTCGGCGGCAGTCCACAGGACCTAGTTCGATGGCTTATCTCTGGCTGAATGCTAAAGACAGGTGTGCAGCCGCTTTCCGACCCTACTACCCTGCCTCTGTACTGAGAATGATGGTTTTACTTGCATTTCTCTGACATCTCAAGGCAATCGACTTGCATCGACTAGCAGATTCCGGACTTTGCACTGAGCGCTCTTGGAGGCCTACCCTAGAAGAACTTGGAGGGCTTTGGGGGGAGGGTATTCAAGGTCTCATAATGTCACGAGGCCCGGGCTTGACTGCACATGGGTGGAGTCAGCTGAGCAATAACGGCTTGTGCAGGCTTCCACTTCGGTTGCTGGCAAGTGAAGATTCTCCGGGGATGCCGTTAATGAACACAGATGCTTCTGGACTATGAAGGGGCAACGAGGCTCCTGCTCCAAGGAGCACCGACAATGTAAGAAGGAAACCGATGATGTTCATGCAAACTTGCCACTCGTACATGCCAAATCCATGCCAGTCAAGCAAACGATGTGCAGCTGCAGTCATGTCACAGCCAGAGTCACAATGGAGAACCTGCTTGATTGCCTGTGGCAGGGCGGCTTGGTGTCCGGGGTGGCTGTGTTGGGTGCTCAGAGGTTTCTGGGTCGCTGTGCTGTCTGGAGGGTCTTGTCTTAGAAAGGTCTGATGTTTCTGCAGATAGAATGTTGACTTCTGGGTCTGACTGTTGTATGTTGCATGGATGCCTGTCAGTTTAGGACAATGTGATATTGTCATAGTTGTAACAGCAGTTTGTTTTCAAGTTCCAATGTCTCGATTGGGGACAGCTGCTTGGGTTCCCTGTCCAGGCCGGCTATGTAAACGATGCTGACGACTCATCTGGAAACACATGTGCATGTGAGAACCTAGGACCTAGGAAAAACACATATCACTGTGCAGCTTGTGCTAGATTTCTTCAGCCGGTGCAAGATGTAAGTGCCACAATCCGAATCCCATTGCAGCACAAGTGGGTTACCTCTCAATGTCAAGCGATCCGAATGTCGACAGAAGCCCCAGAGGTTTCAAACGCTTCAGCTGGGGAAGTAGACCCTGCATGAAACGTCGAAGATGCTAGGGGCTGATGCTGGGACTTCATGTATTATCTATACAGACCTGATGTCTTTGCTCTCGGCAAAGCCTGGCTGCTCGGTGGCCAGAAGACCTGCCACAGTGTGGATGCTGGCACATGTCGTGCAGGAGCACTCATGCAGAAAGACACACTGTTCAAGCATTCCCTCTTGGCAGTAGTGTCGACAGGTGTGACTAGTGAAGGTTGAGCCTCCAAACATAAATGTTCAACACACACCATGCCTTGTCTAGAGACGAAGTAAATTTAAAGAGCCCCCGAGTGCTTGACCCTGTCATGTACCATGAAGTCTCGATGATTTTGCATTGTAGGCTTTCACTGTCAACTGCGGATCGCTGGAAGGCCACACTAAGCAACAAACATACAGCACTGAGGAGCAATTCAGGATCAAGCATGGTGCTGCCCCCGCCTCGGCACACAGTCGTGGGACCTCGGGCAGTTGCTGGCTCTGTCTCACTCTTTCTCAGCAGTTGTTTGCATCCACTAAGACAAAGCCACACAGGAGCAGGCAGAAGGCATCAGATCAATGTTGGTCGGACAGGTGGAAGGCTCACTGCAATTTGAACTGTGGGGCACTCGCACTCCAAACTCTTTTTCGCTGCCGTCGCAATCATATGCCATGCCATGCCCATCTAGTTCAAATCACTCGAGTCGGAAGTGTGCTGATGTCCAATCTTCGGCATCGCTTTGCTTTGTGGTTTGCTTTTTGCACAGCAAGCAGCCACGAACTCCTCAGAATGCCAAGGCTGTGGATGGGCCCGCGGAATCTGTCCAAGGAGCGGTGACAGATCAATGAGTTTTGGGTTTGGGGGCGTCAGGTTTAGATTACAGGGTTCATGAAAGGCATGAGTTGGCCTCATTCTGCACACCAAGCCTACTGCCAAGACTCACCAGGCCGTCTGGCATACACAAGCCCTGAATTTAACACAAATTGTTCTTTTCACAGTTCCTGCCTGAGCTCGCCGACGCGGAGCCTCTGCGGGCTCTGGCACTGATCCAGTGCTAGCAGATGCAGCAGTCGGCTCCACATGCGGACTCGGATGGCTCGGCACCTGCAATGGAGTGCTCCCCAAAATGTGGTTCAGCATAAGCTAAGCCAAGCCTTTGCACCAGTAATCAGCACCCTATACTATTTAAGGTGATGTCAGAAAAGCGGCAACAATTAGCCATTTCTGAAATCGTCTGGGCCTCGTCATTCGGGTGAGGATAGGATGGTGGAGGCAATGGGGGTGGTGGCAATGGAGCCATCTGTGCCGCTCGTCTTGCTGATGGGCGTGTGGTCTCCTCCGTGATCTCCGTCACCCTTGGCCCCGCCCCGTAGTGTGGCTCATCGAAGACCTCCGTCACCGTTGGCCCCGCCCTGTAGTGTGGCAGTGGCTCATCGAAGACCTCTGTCACCGTCGGCCCCGGTCCGTAGTTGTACTGTGGCTCCTCGTCGAAGACCTCTGTCACTGTCGGCCCGGCTCCACCCCACCACACGGAGCCTGCTCCGCCCCAGCAGCCTTACCTTCCCAGGACCTTGGGTCCATTTTCCAGCTGCAGACTTTCCGCCCTTCCATGACAAGTCCAACTCGTGGTGCTCCGAGGGCTTTCCGGCTGGGACTTTCCGCCACCCTTCCAGGACCAGTCCAAGTAGTGCTCTGATGGCTTTCCACCCGCGGACTTTCCGCCGCCCTTCCAGGACCAGTCCATCAACTCGTAGCTGTAATGCTCTGGCACACCCTTGGACTTTCCGCCCTTCCAAGACCCGTCAGACTCATATGCCCAAGCTGCAGTGTGCTCAGCCGGCTGCCTCCCCACCGGTAGGGGCCGTTGGCCTAGGCTCGCCTCTGTCACCACATGGCTGACACCCAAGAGGTTCCGCACCTGCAGGGACATGTCAGAAAGTGACCTTCTTCTATAGATTCTTCAGATGTTCAGCTTCCTTCTGGGGTCTGGGCTAAGAACCTCCATGTTACAAGAAGCCTGTGCCTGTCACCTAAATGATGCCCTTTTGTGCAGAGACCCCTTCCCGGCCTCTCTACGCAGATGCCAGTTGCTTGTGGACCCCAGAGCATCCCGATCCCGGGCCCTGGATCGGCTCCTGGTCCTGCTCCTGCTGTCGCCACGCCTCCTTCGTCGCCTGTCACGCGACCGCGAACGACTTCTGTCTGTGGCAGCCCTGAGGAGAGCTTCCAGCACTCGGCGAGAAGACATGGCAGAGTTCGAGAACCGAGCTTAAAGTCTATGACTTGCTCTGTTTCTCTCAATCAAGTCCTTGTCAGTAATTACCACACTGCCAGTGCAGAGAGCTCCAGGGAGCTCTTTTGCCTATGCCACATGCAGCAGGGAATGTATGCGAACCATAACCGCAGCATGCACATCTCCAACACAAAGCTGCTTCCTGCAACGAGCTCTCTCTGACCCTGCAATGAACAACAGCTGCACATTGCTTCACAATGGGTTTTCCAGAGCTAAAGCAAGAACAACATAAAGTCATACAACATAAGAGGATGCGAAGAACATGATTTTGATACTAGCTCTGCCTAGACTTAGAGCAGCATAAGCCATCCCAACTTCTGCTCTCAGCCCCCGACTGAAGGACGGCCCAGCACAGCTGTGCCCAGAACAGCTCGAGCCCAGGCAGAAGGACAGTTGGAATGTAAGTGCTGCTAGTGTGAGATCACATAGTAGGTGTCTGAGAAAGAAGGCCTGACCGAGTGCAACACAATATGATATCACAAAATAACATGCCTATGCTGTTTTCCTTGGGACTTGTCCTGTGCCAGGACCACATTTCTCCATCACCTGGCAGTGCAACAACAAAGACGCTGCCCTCACCAATCCGAGGCTGCCGAACATAGTGAACTCACAGAGGTCAGCAGTTTGCTTGGTCTGCACGACAAATGTTTAGTGGCTAGATAATCAAACTCCTGCTATCAAGAGGCACCTGCTCTGGCAAAAGCTGCTCGGGCTGTCTGCCACCGACGAACCTCCCCTTGGGACCTCATGCAAGAAACATCTTTGCTGCATCTCGCAATCATCCTAGCTCAAGCTGTGCTGTAGCACGCGAAGATCCTTCAACATGCCATGTCCCAAAAAGAAGACTGTGCCGGCCAGTGCAGGGCCCAAGCAGAAGAAGACTCAGAAGGCTACAGTTGCACTGTACGCACGAACCAGCTCAAAGACCAATGCTGACAGCGATCTTGTGCTGAGAGAAGATTGCTTGCTAGGGCCCTTCGGTTGTTGTCTCTTTTCCTCGTCTTCTGAAGTTTGCTGCGGTTCCAAGAAGCTGCCCTCTTCTTAATAGTGCGAGAGTATTATTGGCTTTCACATCTGGCCATGTCTGACACAAGTAGAAGGGCTTCACCTCAGACTTCTGTCGGATGAGCGACAGAAGCATGCTGAAAATCATGCAGCCGAAGCTAATCATCGAGGCGGACCTGATCATGAGCCCAAGCTAAGAATCTGAAACCGAGTATCGCTGTTATCTTTGCAGAAATTGGTACCAATTTCTGCCAACAAAAACAACCTCATCAGTCTAGAATGAAACCAAGCTGTGACATCGGCTCCTGACACTAGGCCCGGGATTTGAGAAGAACTTGGTACCAAGTACTGCTCAAATCCTACCTCATTGCTCCTGTTCACCTGAAGTAGTACTAACTAGGGAATTATTGTCCGATTCATGAAATAAAACCCGACACCCAGATGCCCCGATGAAACCCACGATGAAACCCACCACCCAAAAGCCGGCAGCACCACAAACTCACACAGTAATCCGAAGTCCTGAGCTTTCAAGGACAGTGCACCTCGCCAGTTCCAGGCAGCCAGAGCAGCTCTCGTCAAAGCAGGAATGTCCTGCAAAGGCATGGCACAGGTGCAGGAATGTATCAGTGGGGCTGCCCCTCTGACCTCCCGGAAGAAGCTCTTGAAGCTACTTACAACAGCCTCAGAAGTCTACTGCGAGAGTGCAAGAGCCATCGCCAGGAACATGTCATGTAATACAAGCGTTCTATTGGTGCTTGGGTTCGTATTTTCGGAACTAACTGTCCGTGCACCTCTGTTGAACCCTGTCAAGCTAGACTTAGAGGAGTTCGGAGATCGGGGAGCAGATCCACGACATGGCAGAGAAGAAGGGTGTGAAAATCGTGTGCCAGGACTTGCCCGGGTTGTTCATACACAACGCAAGCCCCATGGAGAAGTTCACCCGGAAGCTTGTGCTCTCACTTTTTGAGCTGGAACGAGACATCCTTGTCAATCGCCTTTACTCGGGACTCTGTGCGAAGCGTGCCACCAGCAGCAGACTCAATCAATGCGGGTCACCCAAGGCCAATGGACGCAAGTCCATCCTGGAGAAACTCAAACCCAGCAAGAAAGTGGTGGCTCGCCTGAAGTCCCTTCTCAAGCAGCGCGAGAAAGGCAGCTATGGGTGGCGTCCTCTGGCCGTGAAGTTCGCAGCTGCATTGGGCTTCAAGAGGAAGAAGACCTTGAGTGTCCAAACCGTGAGGCGCATGTCGAAGGAACTCAGCCACATGTAGTGCTAACATGCTTGCCCCCAGGCCCCTGTCCTGGCAAAAGCCCCGAAGCATTTAAGGAGGATGCTAGCATGTTCTTAAATGTTAGAAGGCTAAGGCCCTCTGCCAGGGCTCGGGTGGAAAGGGCAAGTTCAACTTCTCAGGTTTGTATGCTTTCTGGCATGTGCACATCGTCTAATTTACTCCCAGTATGTTCGAAGCACGACAGTCATGGCCGCAAATAAAGGCTATGACATGTTGCTGCAGGCCAGACTCGCAGCAGCTAATGTACCCAGACAGGCACTGGAAGTGCAGAAAGAACCGGGCTCTTGTTGCCTTGCCTTGTCTAGTGTTTCGGCTACAGAAAGAAAAGCAGCTCAACTTTCGGCCGACCACAGCTGATAAGAACCACCCTCAACCGTGGGGCTCACACCATGGCTCGATGCTCACGTCTGACGGAGAAGTTAAGCACAAATGTGTGACAGGTGTCAGGGAAGGTAATCTGCATGTGCTGGGTGTGCTGTGAATGCATTAGTTGCTTTGTTGGTTTGTTTTGGGGCTATGCATGTGCAGCCAGAATATTAGCTAAGCCTGTCCTTCACAGGGTGGGGTGGACTGCGATGTGGGCAGGGGATTTCAACATAATTAACAGGGGGTCGTAAACCTAAGTTTTCGAACCGCCACCCATGATTTCGAGACACCCAGCCATTTTTCGAGACACCCTTGAGCTGTTGGCAGTACTACAGCCACCCTCCCTTCCCTTCCACTGCAGAGGAGTTGCCGCAAATCATGCACATCGAAGAAGGCCTGCCGGCATCAAAGGTGGGTAGGGCTGTCATCAAACATTTGACTTATCTGGCACTGTGACAGTGCAGCTAAGCTTTCTGGCGCTGTGATAGCGCATGGTGCATGCTATTCTCTTTAGGAAAGACATCAGGCGCTGTGAGAGCGCACACACATGAAGATGCAGCGACTAAGACTATCGAAGCTCCAGAAAAAAGACACTGATTCAACCCGCAGGCCAGCCTTGAAAGAAAGCCGAAGATCGGGATGCTCAGGCCTCAGAGTGCATAGTTTTCTGAAGATGCATCACTGAAGTGGATTCTGTTGGGCACTAGCAACAACATGCAAGCACTGTGCTGCACAGCAAAGGCCCAAGACTTAAGAAGGTTTGTGAGTTCATGAAATACAGAGATCATGGCAGCTTCATCGAGCGGTGGGGTTCTTATTATGTCCTTGTCATCGATGCATATATAAAATATGCTCAACTGTAACTACTTTTGATGCAGAAATTTGAATCCATCACAGTTGCACAGGAACAAGTAGCATCACTGAAAAGCCATGTCCGGATCCGGGTGGGCCGGGTCGTCGAGCTGGAATGATGGCACATGGTGGCACTGGGATGATGATGAGGAGGAGGAGACGGGACAGGGAAAGTCCGGTTCCCAAGGTGGTGGAAAGGGGACCACCCAGATGAAAGGACGGCAGGGAGGGATGGCTCTGCGGGCCAGGTTTGAGGATGGAACACAGGAGAGGACACGCTCCCAGGCTGATCGTGAGGCGATCAGGGCTCCACTGAAGAAAGAGATCAAGGAGCTCAAAGCACAGCTGGCGACGGTTCAGAGTGAAGCGGACCACATGGCCCGCGAGCTGGGCAGGTGCCAGGCAGGGCCGGGCAGGGAAATGCCATCATTCGCGGTTCCCAGAACAAACCTTTTCTTGGGCAGGGCATGAACTCCGACTTGAAGCACAGGGCCGAGATGGCTGAGGCCACTAGTTTGTGTTGGCATTTTGCAAGTGAAACTTGTGTCCAATGCCTTGTTTGTTTCCAGGGCCGAGTGCACAAAGTGAATCTGGAGCTCATCACTGCCAAGTCCACAGAGGAGGCCTTTACTGCCCGGTTTCCACACAGTTTGAAGCTCATTCAGTTTGTGGTTTCTTGCCAGGTCCACTTGAAGTCGAACGACGACCTTAAGAAGCAGCTTCAGGCATGGTAGCCATGCACAATCACAGGCCATTCATCCTGCAAGCCCTTTTCTGAGGATTGCCAAAAGAAGGTCACAAGCCTGGAGGCGGAGTGCCAGCAGAAGGACACAATGGTCACAAGCCTACAGGCGAAGTGGATGAGCACAGAGTTACATCAGATTTCATTGTGCACTCAAACCATTTTCCAAAACAGCGGCAGGCCGACTTAAAGCAGCTGCAAGAAGTGAAGGCACTGGGAGTTCAATTCAGTCGACGTATAGGGCCATCCGGGAATCTGCCCCAGGAATCCAGAGACCTCCAGAACGACGAGGAGCTCCGTGGAGCCAAGGCAATCAGTCTGGGCAACACAGTATATTGTGCATGGGTCGGCACAACACACAATCTATCATGCATTGCAGA